CCCTACTGGAGCATCAGAGCCAGACTGGGAGTTCCCAGTGCCTTGTTTGGGGCTACTGACTGTGGAGCCCCAGGCTTGTTCTGCACCGTGACCTTTTCCTGTTGCCTCCCCAGCTGGAGAGCACCTCGTTACATCCTGGGCATGTCAGAAGCACGACATGATCGCGTGCGCAAGAAGTACCACATCCTTGTGGAGGGAGAGGGCATCCCCCCTCCCATCAAGAGCTTCAAGGAGATGAAGTTTCCAGCAGGTGGGCTGGGAGTGGGAGCGTGGCTGGCGAGGGCGGGGGAGTAGCGTTCTCATGGGAAACTTGCCTTGGCGAGCGAACTTGGCGGACCCTTCATGCTCTGATAGTGGGATCGCAGCTTAAATTCGAGATGGTAGCCATTTCTCCTAAGGTATCTAGCTGCTGGCCTGGAGGATGTTTATCACTGATGAAAGAGCTGCTTCTGAGAAATGAGTTAGGAGGAAAGCAGGGGAAAACTTCAGGCTCTGAACGTGCCTGTCCCTTGTTTTCTGACAGCTATCCTCAGGGGCCTGAAGAAAAAAGGAATCCAGCAGCCAACACCCATACAGATCCAAGGCATCCCCACCATGTGAGTGCTCTGTCCCAGTGCGGGGAATGTTCTGCTCCCTACGGCCCACCTGGTGGTGTCAGCTGGGTGCTTTTCCCTGCTGATGGGTGGAACCCCCTTCACCCTGCACACAGCCTGCCCTGCAGGTCGGAGCCATTCTGTGATGTTCCCGCTCACGCTCAGCCCTGTATCTCTGACAGCCTCTCAGGAAGGGATATGATTGGCATTGCGTTCACTGGCTCTGGGAAGACCTTGGTGTTCACCCTTCCCGTTATCATGTTCTGCCTGGAACAGGAGAAGAGACTGCCATTTTCCAAACGAGAGGGCCCCTATGGACTCATCATCTGTCCCTCTGTGAGTGCATTGGGGCCCCTTCCTGCTGCAGGGGTGCAATGAAGCCTGGCAGGAAGCTTTTACTGATACTCAGTGGGAACAGTTGCGGCTATGAGGGGAGAAGCAGAGCGTGGAGATTAATAGTTTTCTGTCTGCAGCGAGAGCTGGCCCGGCAGACCCACGGCATCATAGAATATTACTGCCGCCTGCTGCAGGAGGACGGGCTGCCCCCGCTGCGCTGTGCCCTCTGCATTGGGGGCATGTCTGTCAAGGAGCAGATGGAGACGATCAAACAGTAAGACCTAGTGTGGGGGGTCTTGCTGGGCTGGAGCTGTGGTCTTTTTTCTGGCAGGGAACTAAGGGCTGGCATCCGGGCTGGCCTGGTGGGTGAAGGTGAGGGCCCAGGCAGATGTTACTGGCCTTCCAGCCCACAGCATGAGCTCTGGAGCAGGGAGTGTGGGTG